CCCGGGCCCTCAGCGACCGCAGCGACCAATGAGGTGAGAGGCAGGCGCGGGCGGACGCGCGCGAGGAAAGGGGGTCGTTCAGGACCCCAAAATTCTGCGGTGGAGGGTTGCAACCCTAGGATGCAGGTGCGGCGGGGAGCGGCAGCGGGTCATACCCTGGCGTCTAATGTAGAGCTTTGGGGAATACGTTTGCAAGTTATCTGCCGGGGTAAGTCCCCGGGGTGGGAGTCCAACCACTTCTTGCTCCTCGCGGATACCCAGGCAGCGACGGGCTTGGCGAGGCCCCATGAACTGTGATGCTTCCTGGCTTTCAGCATAATAGCCCCCCCAGTCAAAGACAACTGGCGATTCACACGCACCCCGCTTTCTTCCACCTCCTCCCCCGGCCCTGTCCTCGGCCGCCCTCGACCTTTCGCACTCGTGACTGCCTGGCCAGGAAGCCTGGCGGGTTGCAGCAGGTGCTGGGGGAAAATCTTCCCTGGACGACCTTCCTCTGAGATGCGCCCCTCTTCCCTTTCACCTGGGAATGGTTGAACACAAATTATTGTGACATTGTTTCTCTTTTCCTTTTGGCCTTAGATTTCTGATTTCCTGCAGCCTCCTCTTACCCCGGGCTGCCCAAGCCTTGGGAGCTGAGGCTGGCTTACCTCTCAGCCGTTCTTTCATGGGCTTTGCTGCCCCCTTCACCAACAAGAGAAAGGCTTATTCTGAGCGTAGGATCATGGGGTGAGCATCTTCCCTTGTCCAGCATCTCTCCACTCCTTTCCCCTCCAAATAACCATGTCCAAGGGTAGAATGTAAGGGTAGCAATAATAGGCAAGATTCATCCCTAGCCATCCCTCTCCCAGCTGTATTACCGATCCTTTATCTTCCCCTGCCAGGCTTCCAACTGTAATTCTTGGTTGTCGTGCATGTGTATTAAGTGAAACTTGCGTAGAGTTGGACAGTAAGTATAGTATCATAAAACAGGGTATTCTCTGCTGACCTGACCTTATGTATTCTGAGCACATTATAAAATAGCTCACACTTCCTGAGCACTTGTTACTACTAGCAGTTAGGCTGCCTAGGTATTTTACATATTTCCTCATTTGATCCTCTCAACATACCTATGATTCAGGTACTATTACTACCTCTGATTTGCAGGTGAGACAATGGAGGCACAGGTAATGTACTTAGGGCTACATTGTTAGAAAGTTGTAGAGCTGGGATCTGAGTCTTTGTACGACAACCTGTTCTTCCTAGATGATCCCTCTTAAGATCAAAATAGATATGAAATTCATAAGCATTCTGTAAACTGCAAAACAAAGTAACATTAATATCATGAAAATCTGCATGTTCGTTTTTGGGAAGTCATTCATTCAGGCTTATTTGCAATCTCTAGTTCTTGAAAGTGTATGGTTAGTGGGTAAAGCTACTGGGGGGAAGAGCACTTAGAGTAAGGAGCTGGTAGTTCCTTGGCCTCTCTGATTCCTTCCCCTAGGTACTCGATGCAGGAGATGTACGAGGTGGTGTCCAATGTCCAGGAGTACCGCGAGTTTGTGCCCTGGTGTAAGAAGTCTTTGGTTGTATCTAGCCGCAAAGGTCACCTGAAGGCCCAGTTGGAGGTTGGCTTTCCACCTGTCATGGAACGTTATACTTCTGCTGTTTCCATGGTCAAACCTCACATGGTCAAGGTGAGGCCTGTCTGGAAGGGATCAGGAAGTTTTTTGTGTTTTCTAGCATTTTTACACTTAAGTGCTACTTTGACCTTCCTTGTCATTTTATCTTGAATCAAATACCTCCCTAATAAAATATTAGAAGGAAAGGAAAATGGCTTTCAATTCCTTCTTATAGCCTCCTATACCTAGCATAGGTTTTATTCCATTGTATGATGTTTAACTACCTGACTCCTATTCTAGGCTGTTTGCACTGATGGCAAGCTCTTCAATCACTTAGAGACCATTTGGCGATTCAGCCCTGGTATTCCTGCCTACCCCCGAACTTGCACTGTGGACTTTTCGGTGAGTCAGGAGGCTGTGTAGCACAGGGCTACCAGTGGGTGTGAGGGCAGAGTTGATGTACTGTGACAGCATTATTCTTTATGTATAGCTAAGCACTTAGCATTTCCCAAGTCAATGACACCTCACAGGTCTGATTTTTTATCAAACCTTACACTGTGCTCAGTCCCAAGTTAGGGCTTTTGAGGGGATCTAAGGAACCTGGAGGGGAAGAGAAAGGTACTGAATAGTATCCTTGCATTTGGCCAGGGACTATCCAACATGGTCTTGAAGAATTTCTGACTATCTCTTACCCATTCCTAGATTTCCTTTGAATTTCGTTCTCTGCTGCACTCCCAGCTGGCCACCATGTTTTTTGATGAGGTTGTCAAACAGAATGTCGCTGCCTTCGAGCGTCGGGCAGCCACCAAGTTTGGTCCAGAAACAGCCATCCCCCGTGAACTGATGTTCCATGAGGTGCACCAGACTTGAGGCAAAGGATTGTTCCTTAGCTTCTCCTCCATTCTCTCTCCCTACCCAGTTCTATTTATTTTATTTGGCTCTTGCTCCAATCTGAGAGAAGAGTCTATGTGCATAATGCTGTTCTCTCAATTCTCCAGAAATTGGGCTCTAAGCTGGCTGGAAATGCTGGAGGGAAGAAAAGGCAGGGGGGTATAGAAAGGAATGACATGCTTGGGAAATGGTTAAGCTCATCTTAAGAGCCCCATATGCCTCATGCCTGCGGCCTTTTCACACTGAATTATAATTAGGACTGTGTGGTTATCTGAGCCCTGTCAAGGTGCCTTAGTGTCTGACCAGGTAAAGATGGCAACTTAAGGACTAAATGAATTGAGCTTTCTTCTTGGACACAGAGGTACTGGATGGTCAATAATTTTTGCTTGCCTGAAATGCCGCAGATGTTGGGGATCTGGCCACAGCTTGAACTCCATATGACCTAACTTTAAGAATACTTCCATGCTAGTGGAGAACCTGGGGCTTTCTTACCATCAGTGCCACGGGGCAAGGAGAAAAAAAAAGCACTGAACAAAATTATACTCTTGGGTTGTACTTTATTCCATCTGGCCTGAATTTTTATAAAATTTCAATAAATTAATTCTGAGTGTGAATTTGGCTTTTTTATATTATTTCTTGGGGGAATAATATAGAAATAGAGTAGAATAGAAGAACGTCATGGCTTCCTTCCTAGGAGAGTGAAGGTGCAAGGCCTCTTGGACATAGTGTCCCTGCTAACTATAGTAGTACATTCTACAAGCCAGGACCCAGTACCCACTCCCTTGCCTATTAATAGACTTTTTCAGAAGGTCAGTTGCAGCAGGAGTCTGAGGACAAAATAATCTGGTCTCAGACCTCCCATATAACTGATGCTCTCAGGACCACCTCTTTTTCAGTGGCCTCCTAAAGGGAGGCTGCAAAGAACAATGGGCATTCCACGAAGTACCAGAGCCCTCTAGTGGCTCATGTCCTGAGCTAGCTGTCTTGTCCTTGGTATAGTTTGTCCTTGGTATAGTTTATTCCTTTCTATAGTTTCTTCCTGTTACCCAGTGGGCTGGACCAGTTTCCTTGGATTAGTCACATAAGCAGTTGTGAAGTCTCAGCTATAGTCCCTGTGTGTTCTATCTTACAACAAAATTAGGAAGAATAGGGGCTAAAGGTCAAGGACTTCTAACCTTGAGGAAAGACAAATCTTTGGAAATCTCACAGGGAGCCTGCCTTCACATTAGGATTAAAGAATGCCAAACCTGTCTAAAGATAAAAGGATGCACAAGATAATTTACAATCCACTTAAGTCCATGATCTTGCCAGCCAGATTCCTTAACTCATAGTAGATTCTTCCAGGCCTTATTTAATAGTAAGCTCAAGCATTATTAATAAAAACATTTATTTTGCACTTTATACAGAACAACCTGAAATCTGCATCATGACAAATTACCCAGGGGTTTATAGACAGTGTGTCCACCTCAACAGCGTGGTTCTGGGGATTAAGGATCCACACAAACAGGCAGGAGTTGTGAGGGAGGAAGGGGGCACAGCAGGAGTGTATTTCGATTCCTTCTTAATGTGGCAGGGTTACTATTTTTAATGCCCCTTATCCCAGGGATCTGATATTCAAAGGAAACCATGTCCAATCTTAAATTATTTCCCTGCTCAGAAAGAGGTGCTAGTACCCCTGGGACCAGACCATGATGATATCATGCTGGTCAGAGGATAGTGGCTTGTGTTCTGTGGAAGTAAAAAGCTTCATTCATGTTAAGCACTGATAAAGCCAATGACTGGGAAAGACCACATATCAGGCAGTGGTATATACAACCTGCTGAAACAGATCTCTACTTGGGACGAAGAAGAGAAGGTCCAGAGCATCCTCACTGAGCTTGAGGCACAGCAGATATAGAAAATCTCAAAGGAGGTATTAAAATAGTGGGGAACAGAACACTCCCAGACCTTAATTTTCATGGGATAATTTTAAAAAGAAATAAAAATCAAATACTGAGTGCCAGTAACAAATGCCATGGCCTTTATGGTTACCTGGTAGCATAAAAAATGCCAAAGCATACCCAGCTAACCAATGGATCTTGCTAGGAAGTGTCTGTGTGTATGGGAGAGGGCAATGGGACTTGGTAGAGCTGACAGTCCAACATGATTCTTGTTTAAAAGGGGGCAGAGTCCTGGTTTGCTGGCCTATTGATGGCTGGGCAGGGTGGAACCAAAAGGTCCAAAGCGACTGCAGATTCTCTGCAATCAGCTTTGACCCAGAGATAGAGGAGCCAGATTCTCTCTAAGATGGTGGTGGTGAGGCCAGATTTAACCTACACCACATGGATTAGTCCTGGTCATCCTGCAGTTAATGGGCAATGCAAACCAGGCAGCGGAAAGGAGCTGGTTAGGGAAGAAGGGGTCACTTTTTATCTTTTAAAGTCTTAATTTATATTTTAACCTCAAACTAATTATCAGTGCCTCAGATACAATTTAATCTTAAGCCTTTAAAAGCCCCTTGAAACAAAACAAAAGTATAATTTTTTCAAGCTCCCTCAATTTCTGGTAGTTTCTTCTCAGTCTCCAGTTTTACCCTGACTTAGAGTCCACAAACTTCATCAGACCATCCGTGCTCATGGACTTGGGCCTCTCTAGAGGGAAGCCTAGGGCTCGGCTCCAGATGAGCTGTGCCAGTACACCCAATGCTCGTGACACCCCAAACAGGACTGTGTAGTAATTCATCTCCGTCATGCCATAGTACTGTATGGTAAAAGAGAAAAACATCTTGTTAAAGGCCCAGAGGTAGTGGCATATATAAATCCAGGGTGATAGAAATCTTAATCCAGTCAGCCTTAAATAGAAATGACACTAGGCAAAGTACAGCAATTGGGATTCTGAAAAGAGAGCATCCCTTTCCTCCTGCCCATACCTCCCCCACCATAGGCAACTTTATCAAAAGGATAAGGAAGAAGTATAAGAATCTCTGCTCTGACTAGGGAGTTGACTTTGTGCATGGCAGAGAACAGCAGGGTTTTGTACAAACTAGAAGGAAAGCAGGGAAAAGAAGACTCACCTGGAGCAGCACCCCACTGTGAGCATCTACATTGGGCCAAGGATTCTTGGCCTTGCCCTGCTCTAAGAGGACATGGGGCACAATCTTGTACAGCTGAGCAACCAGCTTAAACATGGGGTCATGAGGCAGGTGTTTCAGAGCAAACTCTCGTTGACAGGTATATCGTGGATCTGTCTTCCTTAGTACTGCATGGCCATACCCTGGGACAACCTGTGAAGAGTGATGGAAAAAAAGCCAGTTGTTATCTCTTGTAGAAATTCTTGTCTTTTCTAAATTCTTCAGGGTAGACAAATGGAAAAAAAAATTCGAATTTAGGGACCTCCTCTCATTCTTTTTTCCTTAATTCTTCTAAACTGCAGAACTGAGGTCTTGGCTTCTTTCCTAGTTGTTAAGCATCTCTGCTTGCTTACCCGTCCTGACTTGAGTGTGTTCCAGATGTAGTCTCGTAACTTCTCATCTGACACATCTTTGCCAACTTCCTTTTGTAGTTGTGTCAGCCAAACAAGTACTTCCTATAGGTAAGGTTTGGGGAATAAAAGAGTGTCAATACATATGGCAGGAGAGAACATCAAGAGAAGAAAGAAAAGGGTGAGAGTAAGAAAAACATGGAGCAGGAAAAGAAAAAGGACAGCCTTACCTGATTTGCCAGTCCATGTAGGGGCCCTGCCAGCCCATTCATGGCTGCTGAAAAAGACAGGTAGGGGTCCGAAAGGGCACTGCCCACCAAGTGGCTGGTATGGGCACTTACATTGCCACCTTCATGGTCACTGTGGGGAAATAAGAAAGGAGACTCAAGTCCAAGAGAAAGAGAAGAAAAGGGGCAGATTATGGAAACAGACCTTGCTGTTCTCTTACTTGTCACATACTAGCCTAGTTAGGGGCTCACACCAGCCTACAGCCAGTCAGTTAACATAAGCTCTTATAAGAAATGTACCAATCTCATTACCAGCCTTTGGTCACTAATCCACAGAGCTGGAGAGGTTACCAGTTTATGATGCCTCTGTGCCAAGCTCTGACTCTCACTTGATTTAATAAGTAATGGCCAGAAGAGGGAGCTCCTGGAAAGCTAAAGGACAACATAACGTGAGCAGCTAGTTAGTACCTTTTCCTATCTTGTTCTTGATGTGGTTATGGTAATTTTCCTAAACCTCTTTACCTTCTTTACTATTCCCCTTTCTTGCCCTGTATCATCCCTTATGCCGTGTTTCCATCACCTTGTTGCCTATCACATGTTCCCAGAAAAGGAGACTGTTAAGGAGCTTTTCTTAAAATTTCCCACCAACCCAGGCTATGGTTGCTGGATCTATCTCACCTGTGGATGGTGAGGTACAAGCGCATGAGCTCAGTAAACTGAGCATCGGTATAACCTAACATGTTGGTGAAATTGTGGGACCAGTCCAGCTTAGAGTCGATGGCCCCAATACTGCTGCCCTCCCGGTAGAGATTCCGGTAGATCTTTGCTGCAACACAAGGTAGCTTTGCGATCAGATCCATACAGTCTTCGTAAATCAACTGACGGGGAGAAGAGGAAAATGGAGAAACAAAGGAAAAGATTTCTCAACAAAGAATTAGGCAGGGATACTATTTGTCCTCCATGTATTGGGGTTGATGGTTATATGCTGGGTGATTATATATAGAGCATAACAACAATAACTCTAACTGGATAACTACTATGACCCAGACACTGCACTAAATGATTTACACATACTATCATCTCATGTATATATGTATATTAATACATTATTCTCAATTTTTTACAATTCTACAAAGTGTATAACGACCTCCACTTTATAAATGGGAGAACTGAGGCTCAGAGTATTCAGTTAAATGCCCAAGTCAGAATTTGAACTCATATATTTAATCATGATCTTTCCTGCTACATGACTTTGCACTCAATGAATGTGCTAAGGCACTAGGTTTTAATAATTTTTATGTTCCATCTTTCACAGAAAATTCTGACCATATATATATATATGTCAACAGTCAAGCAGTGGCATTTAATTGTTAGTTAATATCAAAGGCTTCCATTTTTTTTAAGCACTTAATATAACAAATACTGTGCTAGACATACACAGATACAAATACACATACACACACACACACACACACACACACACACACAATTTTTCCCTATATATATTTCTTACAATAATTCTGTAAGGTAACATATACTTTATTTTACAAATGAGGATACTGGAGCCTGGCCAGGTTGAATAACTTACACAAGGTTATTCACTCAGCTAATAAGCATCGTCTGGCTTAAACAATTACTAACTCATGGCCACTCTTGTTTCACCTATATCCTTACTTTCCCAAATTATTTGGAGCTAATGCCAAACATCGTATATTTTAACATGGAAATATTTAAACTGTTATCTCTAAAAAGAAAAAGGTCTTTCATAAACAAAATCACAAAACCATCATCCCACTGAAAAAGAATTTAGCAAATTCTCAGTATCATTATCTACTCAATTCCAATTTCCTTGATTATAAAAACCCCCTGCCTCATTTGGTTCATGACTAAAAATAGCCCACATTGCAATTTTCTGATGTCTCTGAAGTCTCTTCTAATCAATTTAAGTTCCCTCTTATGCTCTCCTTTTTTAATTATTTTATTTATTTATTTTTTAGGCAAGGCAACCCTTGGTTGACCTCACAGATCACAAGGACCTTGTCATCTTACCATCCCTTATTTTTATTTTTTACTCCTTCAGCACCTGGTCTTCCTACACCTAGGAAGTCCTGATCCTGCTTAGCTTCCCAGATCAGACGGGATCGGGCTTTTCAGGGTAGCATGGCCGTAGACTTGCTCTTTTTTTTGTAAATTTGCGATTTGCAGAAAATTGGATCATTTGTTTTGCAGAATTTCCCACACATCTTGCTGGTTATGTACCTGTGATGTCATTTAACATGTTCCTCTATCTACTTATTTCCTATAAACCAGGCGTCCCCAAACCCTGGACTGCAGATTGGTACTGGTTTATGGCTTGTTAGGAACCAGGTCGCACAGCAGGAGGTGAACAGAGGGCAAGCAAGCAAAGTTTCATCTGTATTTGCAGCTGCTCCCCAGCGCTACTAGCATCACTGCCTCAGCTCCACCTCAGATCATCAGGCATTAGATTCTCATAGGAGCACTGGTCCCTGGTGCCAAAAAGGTTGGGAACCGCTGCTATAAACTGAGTTAGATCTAGAAGCTTAAGTGATTCAAGTTCTTTTTTTCTTTTTTTTTAGCAAGATTATCTGATTAATAGTGTTATGTTCGTTTATTAAGAGCAATGTAATATCTGGTTGTCTTTTTGGGATGTTAGTAATTGCCTGCTCAACTTTCATGTCTCAATTTTATCTTCTCAAAGGGATGAGAGAGGGTTTTAGTGTTTTGTGGGTTTTTTTTTAATAGCTTAAAAAAATTCTGCTTTCATTCACGGTACTATGTATATAGAAGGCATGGAGTAAATACTTGCTGATTGATATTACATAGTGCTTGCTATGTTAATAAGCTAACTGGCTAAATGCCCCTATAAGAAGTCATGAGGTCTCAGTAGTGCTGTTGGAACAAAGCAAAATTTATAATAACTAGCCTAAATGAGTTAATCCCTATGAAGTCATGTATACTCAAGTACTCAGTGAATTTTATCAGTGCCACCAGGATTCTGTAAGAATACTGCCAAAATTAAAAAGCTACCTGAAACAAGAAGTACTTAGCTAACATTTGCAAGTTCTCGGATTACTTACATGATAATCACACTATTAACTATACCTCCTTGCAGATTTACATCCCCCAAGCAAGTAGGTTACTTCCAGAAGCCTGCATGCATCAAGAACATGCAGTTCTAAGGGACCTGGATCCACTAGCAGAATGCCAAGAACAGGATCCCAGGCTAGGCAAACTAGTATCTGTGGAGTATACTAATTTTCAAAATCATTTGCAAAGTATGAATGGCCACGTCATAAAGAAACTACAAAAAAGGATTGTTTCAACTTCTACCAATGAAGATTAAGTTTATAAAACAGCAAGTATCAAACCAGGTATGACAATGTGGGATCCTTACCACTGCTTTTTGTGGTGGTCAGTGCTGTATAGTCAAGAAGAGTTAAAAAAGACAAAACAACAACAACAAAAAACCAAAGAAAACTGGCAGAGAATTCCTGCTTATTCCTCCTTTTATAAGTTAAGACTAAAGTGTTATTTAGTTTGTATCAAATCATTCTTCATCTAGAAAGCTTTGGAAAAAAGGAAGTTAAAACATGTCACCATCACAACTGTCTGGAATAAAAGCAACAAAATTGACCATAATCATCATTGTGAGCCACCATCTCTATTGCTAGTAAAATTCTGACCAAGTAATTAGCTATCAATCATTATTAAGAAATCACAGAAAAAGAAGAGAACCAGTATTAATGGTGAAGAGGCCGTAGAGTGAAGCAAATTCAAATTCAAATCTTGTCTCTACCACTTACTAGCTGCATGACCTTGAGCAAGCTAACCCTCAGTTTTCCCATTCAGTAAAATAGGAATAACATCTACCTCCCGGGGTTTACCTGATGATTAAATCAGAAAATGAACATAAAGCACTTAAGCATAATATTTGGCATGTTTTCAAGAGTTGTTAGGTGTTAGGATGATGATCTTATTGAAACAGCTTCAAAACCTACATATATCTTTTTTAGGCCTTACAAAAGGTTAGGTTAGCACCTACTTTGCAAATTTTACTCAACTCAACAAAGGCTACTTCATAATCATAGTAACTTCCTGATCATGAGTGAAGTTATGCCAAACAGAAACAGACCTAACTCTTTGGACACAAGAGATTACACTATCTAAAGTCATATGAACTATTACGGAAGAAATGCTGTAGACAGAAGATCATCCTCTTGCAGTATATGCAAAAAAAAAAAAAAAAAAAGGATGAACTGATGATTCTAGCAAAGACTCAGATCACATATAAACTTAACATAAATTTTTAAACAGAAATAACCAGCTGAATGCTGTCATGTTAATTCTTCTTAAGTAGCCATGGTTAAATTAACCAACATAGAAAACTGAACTGAAATAGCATGTCTGACCTTTAAGAGAATTATAAGATGTAATAGCAAAAGAGCATCAAGCACCACTAAACTAAGCACTAAACTTACTGGTGCTACTTTTTATGTAATGTGAACTTAGACATACATCCTAAGGCTGACAAGTAAACTATAATTGCTTATACTCTCCAGAAGACTGGCAAAGTCTTGAAATACAACCTGTTTACCTCAAGACAGCCACCCTCAGATGACATCTCTCAGACAGATGATGGAAGAATAGTCAATCAATGGCTGTGCATTGAAATGGAGGCAATAGCAAGCAGATGAGTACAGATTCATTTCAGTGATTTGATAAAGCACAGTGTGAAGCAATGCGGCATGTCTGGATGCCTGGAAAATATAGCCATCTATTATAAAGTAAGAAGAAGCTGTTTTCTTCTCTCATCATGATAGTCAAGACAATAGCACTGTAAGTAGTAACTGGCACTTTTGGGTATCAAGTTCTAAAAGACGAGTTTAAAACAGAAGAACTGTAGGTCCTGATTTAACCTTTTGTGTTATGGTGACCACACAGATAACAATTACTTGAATAGCATTTAAAAAAGAAAATAAAAAGCAATATATTTAGGTTATATGACCTTCTGAACCTGCTGATGTGCAGCTCTACAAATGCTTTAAGTGCTTATAAATGTGTATATTCTGCACCATTCCAATACCTTCCTCCTCAGTGTCAACCAGCCTAATATCAATTGCAAACCTCCCTCCCTCCTCCTCTCAAAAGCAAACATAATTCTCTATACACAGTTGGCACTGAAAAAATATTGACCCATCAAATGAAGTAAGATTTGTAAAAATCCCAGAGATTTCACTAGGCCAGTGGGCCATGACACTACGGCCCACAGACCATTCCATGTCTTGCATCATAGTGAACTCTTTGGGGCCTTCTTAGCAGTTGGCATCTTCTGGTTAAAAGTCATTTAATATACCTGCTTTGCAAAAAGCAACTCTTCTGTTCCTACACTATCTGTCTCTGAATAAGAAACAAACAAACATTCCAGGATACTAACCACTCTTCTGCTCCTGACAGGTAACCTGAATAGATTAGTCCAGAACTGTGGCTGATTGGCACTAGTTCTCCTAGACTCTAAAGTTGCCTTAGGTGCCATTCACATTCAACTTGTAAGATTTCTCAAGGTTCTCTTTATTTGAAGAAGAGAAGGAGTCTCACTGTTCTTTTGGGAATAGTGAGACTACTCTGAGAAATCTTCCTGCAGGGATCTTGCAGTTAAGTCACATCTATTTCAATGTTCCAACAGCCTTGTGTACAAAGCGCTATTATAGCAGTTACTGAATTATAATTTATTTTTTACATGTACATCACCCTAATAAAACCAATAACTTTGGTGACAGAAAGCACGCTCCATTTATCTGAGTTTCTGGCATAACTCAGAGAAGCAATTTTCCTAAAGATTCTACATTCCTTTTTTTCCCTTTACACTCAAGTTCTTTGAATCCTTATCACATATCAATCACCACACCAAAATTTCCTACCTCCCAGTACTTGGTTCGATTGATACCCTCTGCATATGCTCGGGCAAAGTTACTTTCACTGTTGAGGGCTGTAATGGCTGCACTCAGCTGAGACATGGGATGTAGATTGGTGGGAAAGTTGTCCAGCATGGTGACCACATGGGAAGGCAGAGCTGCCCGCTTTGCCCACTCTTTGGAGAGCCAAGATACCTGTGGAAAAGGAGACACAGCTTAAACTAGGCAAGGAAAAAGAAGATAAATAAAAAAGACAGTGCCATCGGAGTAAAGAAAACCTAAGAGAATTCAATCCACTCATACAGCAGAACTCTGCTCTGATTTCTTCCCCTCACTGTACATTTTTATAACCACCCACAGCTAGGTCAGGATTAAGTAACTGAGATTAGAGAAAGGCAAAGGAGGAAGGGAATAAGAAAAGCTAATGTCCTTCTGCTTTACCTGTTCCTCTGTTGGGATCTGTCCAGTTACCAACAGCCAAAATAAGCCCTCCGGCAGCGGCTCATCCCCACCCTTAGCCCTGGGCAGCAGTTTTTGGCATTCAGGGATACTATAGCCTCGGAAGCGGATACCCTTAAAGAAGAGTAAGAATTACAACTCTTAAATTTATTAGCCTGGAAACCACATAATTAACTCATCCCACTCTTATCAGACATTTCAATAAATTAGACAACTTTTAAAGTAAATCTTCATTTAACTTACTTTTGCTTTGTATTTTTAGTTTTACTAGTTGACATATTAAAAAGGTAAAATTATTCCATATGTACCTATTTTCCATCTTCCAAAATATGAAGGTAGGTGCTTTATTTTATTCTCTTTACCCTCACTGGTCTAAACCACAGTGTGCACAATAGTCAGTAAACTCAAAAATTATTAGTGATTGATATGAGGGTCTCTTACCTCATCAGGATCAAGAACTGATGTTTCATATACCAATCCCTTCATGCCTCTCATGCCACCATACATCTGAGGAAAAGAACAGGATGTAAAGAATAGAATAATTCAGGCTAGAGCCTGTTAGTGCTTCATAGGCTCTGGAAGAGGAAATTTATCTCTGACTTGCAAGACTTCATTTGGGGGAAGATTTCTGAGGAGTTAAGTTATTATAGTATGGAACTTTGCAAGGAAGGCTGCTAACATTGGAAATGAAAATTTTAAGTTGAGAAATTACTATCCTTATTTGATGTTTCTGTCTGTTTGCTTCCTTTTCTTATTGAATTTTATTTTTCTCCTGCCCCCTCTTACCCGCTCATTCCCACCAACCAAAATAAACAGAATGGAATCTATTACAGAGGTAGAAGGTAGAGACCAATGGCTAAACACTGCTGTGGAATTATCTGAGTGCTCAGACTCTCAGGACCAGAGAAGAAGCCATCCTTAAACTGTTTTAGAGGGCAAGATAGAGCTGTGGTTTAACTGGATGGTCAGTAAAGCATCCACTCAAAGAGAGAGCCCTGGCCCCAATAGCTGAGGGCTTGGGAAAAGAATAGAAACTTCATTCATCCCTCCTGTAAGTGAATTAGGTTAGGCTCAGCTATTAAATCTGTAGAAAAGAATGATCTAATTGCTAGTGAACACTATTAAGCATCAACATTTCTGTGTATAGCACAGAATAATTCTGAATTGTCAGTGAAGAGAACAGTACTTTTGTTGAAGCACATTACAGAGCTATGTTTTGCAGCCAAAACCCACAACGCTTACCATGTCCACAGTGATCTGGCCCACAACCATCTTGCCATGTTGTTGCCTGAAGGTCTTAACTCTAGCCTGCTCCTTAGGTATCAGGTCAGCCAATACATCTTTCAAATTCTAAAAAGAGAAGTAGAGAAGCTAAGTTATGGTCAAAATGTTGACTAGATTTCCTGCAAAGTAGGTATATTAAGATTGCTTTTTAGAATTTGGCTTTCTCTATCTGCCAGGGAAGACTGGTCAACTATTCTGTACAGATGAGATTAAAAGAATTAGAGGGAGACAGGAACAGGAAGTTGTCTTAATGGATAGAGTTTAAATTTGGGAAGATGAAAAAGTTCTGGAGATGGTTGGTATAGGTGATGGTTGTACAATAATGTGAATGTAATTACTACCATTGAACCAATACACTTAAAAATGATTAAAATGGTAAATTTTATGTTATGTATATTTTACCACAAGTAAAAAAAAAAGATTAGGCAAAAATATTTACTATTCCCATCTCAGCACACTATTGAGCAAATTATTTCTAAAAACGAGTAGAAAAATAATAGTTATAACAGCAATAACAATAACGGACACCTCCAGGAGATACTCAAGATAATGATGACTGTGTGGTAGCCAAACCACACCACCCCTTGCAGCCCCATGCTAGGGTTAGGCTGCCTTAATGATTCTTAGTCCTTTTTTCCAAACCTTACCATGGAGGAAGCACTGGCATGCCTGGCAGCAAGAACAAGACAGGATGCATTCTGCAAAGAAAACACAAAAATTTATGTACTTGTTATTCTTCCCTCCTAAGTATTAAGAAGGAGTGACAATGACTCAATCCTTCTTTCTTCATCTTAGCCTGTAAAGACAGCTTGACATAAGAAAGCTGTAAAAGACCCTGAGCAGCTTAGGAATTACCACGTCTGGAGGCAGTAGTTTTAACTCTGCTTCTTGCATCCTAAGTTTCATTAGCATTCCCTGAAGAGAGATTCTTTCCCATCATCTGGGTTCCAGGGTTGGGCTTTGTATAGCACAGAAGAAAGGTCAGAAAGGCAGTTATTAAAGAGTACCCAGTCCATCCCAATCTAGCTGTCAATAGTTCTGAGTGGCCCTGAGAAAAGTAAATGAGGACACTGATCAATTACTCAACCCTGCTGGTTAAACCTCTCCAGCACCTAATCTTCTGAACACTTCAACCTCTCCAGTCTAGGAGAACCCACAGGCAGAGGCCGACTTTCACAACACACCTCAAATGCTCCTGAAAAAAGCACAGAGCAGACAGAACATCTACAAAATAACAGCTGACAAAAGACCACTCAACAACAGCAATGGAAACTAGAAAACTGAAACATCTTCAAAGCTGAGCGCCAATAATTAAGAATGAGTTGTGTACCCAGGTGAGGAAAACATCTTAAAAGGGGTGAAATAGACATTTCAAACAAAGCTGAGAGTTTATCACCTATACTCCTGCATACAAAGGAATTTTTAAAGATAAACTTCAGAAAGAAAATTGTCCAGAAAGATAGGTCAGATTTAAGAAGGCTTATCCCTCACTACAAAGATAGTGTAGCTAGCCCATGTTTTTCTATATTTAGAGATACATTTTTTTTTCTCCAAAGAAAACAACTTTGAGATTTTTGAGTTGCAACAGAAAGTTCGACACTGCCTCTGAAAAAGATGACCAAATATACTACAGTAGTAACCCCCTTATCCAGAGTTTCACTTATCACGGTCTGAAAATATTAAATGGAAAATCGTGGGAATAAACAATTCCTAAGTTTTAAATTGCATGTCATTCTTAGGAGCCTGATGAAATCTTGCACTATCCTGTTGTGTCCCACTGGGATGTGAATCTTCCCTTTGTCCAGAGTATGTATCCACGCTGTACACGCTCTTGCATATCAGTCACTTAGTAGCAGGCTGTTATCAGATAGACTATTGAGGTATTACACTGCCTGTGTTCAAGTAATCCTTATTTTACTTAATAATGGCCCCAAAACATAAGACTAGTGATCCTGGCAATTCAGGTATACCAGAGAAGCCGTAAAGTGCTACCTTTAAGTGAAAAGGTGAGTACATTACAATAAAATATTTTGAGACCACATTCGCATAACTTTTATTACAGTATATCACTATAACTGTTGTTTTATTATTAGTTATTATTATTAATCTCTTACTGGGCCTAATTTATAAATTAAACTCATAGGTATGTACTTATAGGGAAAAATCATAGTACGTATAGGGTTCGGTACTATCCGCGGTTCCAGGTATCCACTGTGTGTCTTGGAACATGTTCCCAGTGGATAAAGGGACACTACTGTACTAACTAGCTATTAGCTTTTCTACACAGGATTATTTTGAAAATAAAATTAGATAGTTAAGTAAGCTCCAGTTTCCTCATCTATAATGTGTTGTTAATACCCACTACACAACTCACAAGGTTATCTTGTGATAATTAAATTACAATGTATGCAAAAGCACTTTACAAACTAAAAAGGTTACACACATATATACAAATAAACTAATTCTGGAGCAAGTCTATACTTTTCCTCCTTTTGCCAAAAGGCCAGAGACATCTTTTCTATTGCATTGCTGTCTGGTTGCACTGAAAATCATTTCAGTGCAACCAGACAGCAATGCAATAGAAAATTGACATCATATAAATTCCAAAAAGCTACATGCCTAGA